GCAATATTTATTGACAAAAAAAAGATGGGAATTTACACACAAAGCACAGGTCATAAAAAGGATACAGTTTTTAAATTTAACAGTTATAATTGAAATTGATACACCATAGTCATTTTTATTAGAGCCAACATAATGATTACAAGTGTATGATACATTAATAAAATAAAGAGTGGTCATTAAGCTGAATTATTGAAAGAACTAAAACACTATAAGATAATGCAAAAGGTGCTAAGAAATAATAGGCAGAGAATTAATTAATGGCTTAATAGAATAATATGTAGATTGTTTTTAAAGATATGAATGCTATTGGTTTCTTACTCTATGACAATGTTCCAACTCTTTCACATTTAGAGTATATGTGACTGAAATTAATAGTTTGTGGAGTGAGTGTGCTCGTTTATTGTATAGGCATGTCTCAAGGTGTAAGTGGTAAGTTCTTGGATGTGAAGAGAAGGAATAGTTATTTGTAATTCATTATATCATGTTTACTTATAAAATTATCAAATATATGAAGAGTTGGGGGAATGCTGTTAAAGAAAAAAATAACCATTCTTAAAATGTTGTCTTCTAGTTCATTGGTAACCGCATACTATTAAACTGAATTGTATGCTTTTTATAGTTGAATTTCCCCATTACTGTAATTTTAGAGACAGGAGGTTTGAAAATTGATTGCATCGTTGTATAGAATTTGTTAATTGGCACTATTTCCTTACATTATTATTTTATTAAAGTATTTTTGCATCGCATCATATTTTTTATGTTTGTGAAGTACATAATGTTTTCAATAGCTTTTATATGTTCATTTTTTTCTCATATAATTGGGACGTTCAAAATTGGCATATTTCCCAATAAAACTTTCGCATTTACTTTCTTCTTTCAACTTACTAACTAGACTTGAGCCATTGCTGACAAAACGTCTACTTTTACTCTCGACAGATGTAGGAAATATCATAAACATATAAAAGAGATGTCAGGTAAGAATTGCAGCGAACAATAATAAAGAAAAAGGAATAACATTACACTAATTAATGTGTAACAAAAAGAGATGCAGACAAGAAGAATCTAAGCATGTTGCCAGCACCGAACTTTAAAGAAAGTTCAACATTCTTAAGAATTTAGGAAAGCAAATACACTTGTTTAAATATATAATTCAAATCAAGCAGTTATAAAGCCGACCCTGATCTTTTGAATATCTAAGCAACGTCTAACCGCTGCATCGCTTACTATTATTCGGTTATATCTTTTCACTTAGTCTGTACGACTCATGAAGCATTTCCTAACTTAACAAGGGAGTATTCAAAACGCATTAAATGACCACAGTCCCAAGTAGAAATAAGAAAGAAGATACGTCCATTCTCACAGATAATTTATTGCCAATTTTGATCATCCCAACTATAGCAACTAAATGTTTTTTTAAGTAGAGCATAAATATACAAAAGTAATAGCTTCTTCTTCTAGCGTTTATACAAACGATTAAAATATAAATATGTTTTTTCAAGGAATACGTTTTTTTTCTTTTAGTGCCATCATTGCCTTGGATAAAGAACTATTCCACAAAAGGCTCTTTCATTTTCTACTGGCAATGCCACTAGTTGCTGTAGTGAATAATGTGTTAAAATATTCTGTAGGCGAATTGAAAATTCGACTACGTAATAATATGACTCGTCGTCTTTATGACGATTACCTCAAACAGTTCACATATTATCGTATGACAAATTTAGACAACAGAATTAGTAATGCTGATCAACTATTGACTACCGATATCGATAAATTTTGTGAATCAGTTGCTGATTTGTATTGCAATATCGCTAAACCAACATTAGACATTGGAATCTACGTCTACAGACTGACGACGAGTTTAGGTGGTGGGACTCCGTCCATAATGCTTTGTTATCTGGTCGTTTCGGGATTTTTACTTACATACCTACGTAGACCCACAGGTCGTTTAACAGCAACAGAACAAAAACTTGAAGGAGAATTTAGACATATTAATTCTCGTCTTATAACGCATTCTGAAGAAATTGCATTTTATCAGGGAAATAACCGTGAAAAGGCTACATTACTGTCCAGTTTTAATAAACTGCTGGCACATTTAAGGAAATTCCTTAAATTTCGTGTTTTTATGGGAATTATCGATAACATGATTGCAAAATATCTTGCAACAATAATAGGTTTCTGGGCTGTATCTATACCTTTTGTATCTCGTACTCAAAATTTACACAATTTTGACGGAGGAGAAAGGTCCAGGCTGTATTACACATATGGTAGAATGCTCGTGAAACTGGCAGAGGCAATTGGAAGGCTTGTTCTAGCTGGGCGAGAATTGACCAGATTAGCTGGTTTCACAACACGCGTTACCCAATTGCGACAAGTACTGGCCGACTTGAACGAAGGCAAATATCAAAGGACCATGTTAACAGGAACGGAAAATCTAAAACTTAATTCTGGAAAGTTGATTTTTAAAGATAATGTAATTAAATTCGACAAGGTGCCTGTGATAACTCCCAATGGGGACGTGCTAATAAAAGAATTATCGGTTGATATTCATTCAGGAATGAACGTTCTTGTATGTGGACCTAATGGAGCTGGTAAATCTTCAGTTTTTCGAATATTAGGCGAATTATGGCCATTGTTCGGTGGAGAATTAACGAAACCACCTAGAGGAAAGTTGTTTTACATACCACAAAAACCATACATGACCCTGGGCTGTCTACGGGACCAGATTATATATCCCCACTCAGGAGCTGAGGCTATGAGACGAGGCACAACTGACGCTAAACTTATGGAACATATGAAAAGAGTTCAGTTGGAGTATCTTTTAGAACGTGAAGGAGGTTTAGATGCAGTTGCCGATTGGTTAGATGTCCTTAGTGGCGGTGAAAAGCAAAGAATTGCAATGGCAAGGTTATTCTATCATGCTCCTCAATTTGCAATTTTAGATGAGTGCACAAGCGCCGTTTCTGTTGATGTAGAAGGAAGCATGTACAGCTATTGTCGAGAGGTTGGTATAACACTCTTGACGGTTTCTCATAGAAAATCCTTGTGGCAACATCACGAATATGTCTTGCATCTCGACGGTAGAGGAAGTTATACGTTCAAAAAAATTGATCCTTTGGAAGAACAATTTGGATCTTAATTAATTGCAACAGTGTACATATGCACGTCTATGCATAGAAGTTCGTCTGTATAGTTAGAGATTTTATCAATCGTTTGATAAATTAAAATGAAAACCTAAAATCTAACCTAATAGGATGTAATCTTAAAAACAATGAAAATCTACAAATACTAAATGTAGCTTCGTCCTTCAAAGTTAATATTTTTCTCAGTTAAACAGATGAGATAGTAATTCATATCGTCACCGTTATCTACTAATCCTGTCATATTCAAATAATTTGAAATTAAAATATAAATCGACCAAGCGCTTGATGAACTCCCTTATTATACAATCGACTTATATATGCAAGGTTTATGAGAAAATAACACATGCACAATAAAAATTTTAATCTGTTATTTTCTAGAACAGCATATTTTTACTTAAATTGCAATTAGGAAATTTGTTAATATTAAAGTTAGTTCTGCTAATTTTTTAAATTTTGGCACATGTATATGATTGATTTTATTTTTACTAAAACTGTCATTTCAAAAATTCTCCGTTATTTAAAAAGACAAATCTCGTTTAATAAATTATATCTTTCAAAATGTCATTTATATTAAGCATACAAACAACATAAGAAAATACATTAAGTAACAATGTTTAAAACATTCAGTTTACTTAAAAATTAAGATACAGAAAAGTGATTTTAGGTAGCTAGTCAAACGATTCACAATTTTTATATTAGAAAATTTGGAGAAGGAAAGGTAGTGATAAGTATTATAAATTTTTATTTATACAAAATAGGGTATACAGGAACAGGTTCTTTATAATTTATTGATTAGGTGATGTTATATACCAATGGTTTTTAAATCAAAGTTTAACGATGGTAATAGTATATTTCGTACCAAGGAAAGGAAGTGAGTTACTACAAGCCACTTCCTTCTAGAGGCCCGAGGTACCTGTATTATTTTTTTGTCACATCTACTTTTCTTATTTGTGTTATACGCTTCTGTCAGAACCGTGGCACGTGCCCACAAAAATAAAATTGCGTCAGCTAATACAGTTAGAGTAGGCAAATCTGTTGCAACCCTGATAACATGCAACACTATCTGTATTTAATAATACGCATTAAAGGACTTTATTTTATACTAACGCTCCTATTTATCAATCGAATATGCTCAAAATAAAAAGAGATAGGTGATGTGTCTTTTCTAATATCTCTAAGGTGTTAACACGCCTTGGACAGAATCATGGCGCATGCGCACAATAATGCATTTTATTTCCCTGTGTTTGGAAACCAGTACTTTCGCTATCTAATAAGGGGGAGGTAAATCTAACTTTCTGCGACGGTGTGGCAAAATAATAATTTTTTTTGCTATATTTTATATACTGCTACAAAAATTATACTTTAGAATAATGTTCTAAACTTTTTTTAATTAAACGGGATAAATTGAAGTAATTAAACTATACTGTGATGAATGTACACTTACAGTTGTATTACATTATTCTTCTGTAAACATACACAAATCATTTTGAAGATTTTTTTTGTAATTCTAACCGAATCCTTACAAGTTTTTATAAAAGTAAATGCTAACCGTTCATTCCATTTCGGCGTAATATCATTTAAATTACAATTGGTTTTGTAATTTATTAATACGTTTTTAATGTCACACATTTTACTTTATTTCAAAGAGGCTCTTCGGTGTAAATCAGGAAAACTTGAAAAGCACAAAAAGATTATATATTATTAAAGAATTTTCATTTTATTCGAATAATATATTAGTTGTCTAATTATTGTATTTTATATAATAAATAACCATTACATTACCAATTTTGATGATGACGGTGAGCTCTACCATATACAATTATTTTTACAAAAACGTACACTATTTATAAAAATGTACGTACGTGGTACATTAAGCATTGAAATGAAATAATAAATATTGAAATATAGAAAATCTCACTAATTCTAGTTATTGAAAATACATATTCTTATTTTTCTTGCCATTATTCCAAATGATACTTTGTATTTTATATGTAATATTAATTAGTTTTTGTTGAAATTGTTTGGTAATTTTGTTTATAAAAAGACATTCACAAGTTTATCAGCCATTTCATGTTTATCATACATACATATACATATGTATTACTAATATAGACAATTGCTGAAATTTCCTTTATTTCAGTAGACGTTCAGTACATTTAATATAGAAATTAACAACATTAAAGTTTTTTTGTTTCATTAAAAACTCAACATCACAATGTACCAAATAAAGTTCATGTGAAATTAATAGGTTCTATTGTTGCTTTAATTATGTTTATTCCGTAATGGTTTATGGTTGATGTTATTCTGTGTTAAAAATTATATGTTTATTATGTAGAATATAAAATCCTTAAATAAAACATTGCTTTCAGTTACTTATTTTACTTAAGTATGCATATCTTAAAATAAGAAATAGAATCTATGAAACTTTTATTAAATATTTAATACACTGACAAACACAAAGTTTAAGTTACAAGAGTTTTATTAATGAAACTACAATAATAATTTCGCTATGCTGAAGCTTCTTCAAGTGGAGAGGTAATGTTATAGAATTTACAGTATTATTTCTTCACCGTCACACTGTGTGTGTGTATATGGATAAATATGGGTCTATTAAAAAAGTAATGCATGAGATTAATATTATTAGCTTATTATTATTATTTAGCTGAATATACCAACTTTTAAGTTTTGTCCATAGATTCGTCACATTACTTTATATGAAAAGTTGCTTCACGTTTGAACATCATTAGGCCATCTAGTAACTCCTCTTTTATGGTGGAGCTTCCCCAATAGCTATTTCATATTTAGTAGCTACCTTCATGATATCCTACATAGAATAGCGATCAGGATTGAGGTCTAGTGATTTTATTGGTCCTACACGGATAATAAAGCAAGTTGAAGTCATCTAAAAAAAATATTCAATACTGGGGGGAGGGGGACATTCCTCTTGGCTAGGAGCTTCTGTATTCTTAATAAACGGAGTACATGCCTGCTTGGTTAAGGTGTTATTGGATACAAAATTTTTGTTCGCTTGAGCTAATATATTTCATCCTAAGATAATCATGGGAAATATGGACGACCAGAACCACTCAATTTAATCCAGAATGCCTTCCATTTTGCCTAGGAATTTTCTTCGACACTCTGATGATTTAAGCGGCCTGGCTTCGTACGTTTGGTAACAATTTCATTATCATCGACGTTCTTAACACTTATTCGTTAATGAGCATAAAGGATTGCACACACGATTCTCACATTGACCTTCCACGTGGGGGAAACATCTTCATACATTTAGCATAACACCATCCAGCGCATTCCAGTACTTTACCTGACCAATCACTTGCTTCCATCACCCAACGAATTCTTGTAAACAGACACAAAATAATTCGAAGTGGTCTATATTCCGTCGAAACTGCCAGACGCGGATCACTATTTCGATCTTTTTGGATCTCATCAGCGCGTCGCAGGCAGCTCCAACAGAACACAGGCCAACGTTTACTTGCTGTCTTAACAGTGCGTTTTTGAAAATACTACATATGGCGCAGTAAACGCCATCTGTAGCACGATGCTACATTTTAGGATTACGTATACTCCAACAAGGTCCACTTGTGTGGATATCTACTTGCTGAAAACGAATCCCGGCGTAGCCAACCTCAACGTGATAGGCACGTTAGCTTAATCGAATAAAATAATTCGAAGTGCTCTGTATTCTGTCGAAACTGCCAGACGCGGATCGCGATTGCGATCTTTTTGGATCTCATCAGCGCGCGCAGGCAGCTCCGACAGAACACAACCAACATAAGACATGTGTCTCGTTAGCGTCTAAAACTGTTTCTCTTTGTCTAAAAAATTAGACATTTTATGTACCAAACAAACAAAACGGTTCCAAGATCAATGCAAGTGAAACACATTAGCGAATGCAGAAGATAAGTATATAAGTCCCAAGCGGAGACTTAAACACAAACTTTTGTATAAGAACAAAGGCTTTCACTGCCGGAATCCATAGTAGAATAAAGATTCGTCTGGACAGAATAGTTCACTTAGACTACGGCCCTATAGCCCGAATCTTTATTCTTCTACAAATTTTTGTGTTTACTGTCATATAAATGATCCAAAGAAAACAAACTTTTTTACAAGTAATTTAAATCTACTCTCCAAGGAAAACAAACAATTTGGTTTATAGGACGCCATATACAAAATAAGGCTTTAAAGGAGTTCTAAAAATAAATCAGACACGTTAAAAAAATTGAAGGGATGTTTTATGTAACTTAGATGCACACTGTAATAATTTTCGAATTTTTGAATTCTACTAAGATTCAACATAAATTCTGAAATAAAAGCATTTTATTTTCACAGCTATTATGGGCGAAAAACGTCCGATCTTTACCCATATCCCTATCAGTTCTTTAATACTCATAGGAAAGACGTCCCGGTGCTCCTGCATGCTCTTTGTACGTGTACGTCAGTTATTTGTATATGCGGTGTTGGCGCGGCGTTACAAGTGGTTTACCGCATTGTATAATGATAGTTACAAATAAAATGAATCTCGTAGTCGATGTTGTTCAGAATTTGTTTCAAATAAATGGAAGGCTAACAGATAACTTTCGATTTGTGCAAAGAAAGAAGTGAAAAAGATCGGGAAATCTTATACCAGAAATAACTTTCAATTAGTTCTTGGTATGATGAGAGTAGTTTATGTGTGGTTCTGCAGTAGTACCGTACTGGAAAAATTATTTTGTTGGTCCTACTTACTGTTTAATGATAAAAACTGTGTGTGGAATAAAAAGGAGTTTGCGTTTTTTACGTAAACATGCAGATTCTACAGAACATCTACTAAAATGTGAATTAATCCTAAAAATTTTGTAAAAGTAAAAAACGCTTTAGACGCTTTAAGAATAAAATGAGAGGTTTTTAAAAATACGATTCAACGGGAATGTTAGATTAAATAAACTCTGTCTTCACATAATTATTAATGCAATATTATATTTAAGCAAGCAAAAACTTGCATTTTGAGATACTGACGAAAGCACCGATTTCGTTAATCTGGAATGTTTTAAAATTTGAACAATATAAGTCGTACTTTCTTTCTGAAGCTTTGCAAAATTTATAATTATATATTATCGAGACATATTTACAAAAATAACAAACAGTTAAGCCTGGTTTATATGGCGATAAAAATTATCAAACTAATCGTAAAACAGGAACGTTTTTCACGAAGATTATGAAAACAAGGGCATTTTTACCGAAACGTTCAAATTATTTTCGCTTGTTTTAATGATTCCAACTAAATTGTTTCTGTTTCATACGTTTAAAAATTCTAAACAACGCTAATGTTGTCTATTGTTTTTTGAAAATCTATACGCGAGAAAAATCTTTTCTTCTAAATACCCGTGCATTCAAGAATTTTAAAATTTTGTTTTGGTGTATTGTGTTAAGATGTTGAACATATATATATATCATATTTTTACAACCAGTTAAGTAAGCAAAGTTTATGTAGAAAGAGTTCATAGAATTTATTTTTTTAAACACAAAGTATACTTTTTTTGCATATAATACTAAAAGTTGGTAGCAAGAGAATATTATAAAATTGATAAAAATTATACAAAACTTGATAAATCAGTTTACTTATATCTCTATAGGTACCTCAGATATCATAATTATTTTTCCACGTGTATGTCGAGAGATATAATCTCATAAATCCAAGCTTTCAATTACACGATAGACCTATACTCTAGAATTTATTTTTAACAAACAGACGAGAACAAAAACAAATTATTAAAAAGCCTTGTTCTACCCTGTTTTTTCTTTTCTTCAGTAGGGCTTTAGTAAAAAGAGCTCGGCCAACCTGTATTTTCTAAAATTTATTGAATTGAATGACCTAATATGTACTTATTACGAAATGGAAGACAGTAAAGTGTACTTCCAAAGGGGCCTTTTTTTCCACAATAAAATTTGAAATAGAGCCCATTCAACTTTCTATGCAACTGGCCCATGGGTGTTTTTTCAAATACAATTACAGTTCCGTCAAATAATAATATCTTTATTATTTAAACTTACGATTGTAATAATTTTGTGAAATATTAATAGTTTTGAAACCCTAACTAATATTTTTAATGTGAACGTGAATGTGTTTGTTTGTTATCTCTTCACACCTTAATTACTCGCGCGATCATTATAAAATTTTGTAGACACATTGTCAAGGGTACAGTAAAAAACATAGGGCACCTTTTATCCAAAATAAAAAATGCTGTTCCCGAGTTATAGAAAATTTAATTTTATATGGTCGTCAATGATCTTTGACATATATTTAGGATATCAACGCTAGCGAAAGCCGTGAGTAAAATGTAGTAAATAATAAAAACCACTTATATGCTTATGTACATTTCATTTAATTAATTTACTTATCTGTTCCAACAAATTTGTTAAGGCCAAATGGTCGATTCTATCTAGTAGGTACTCTTTAAATTTATCAAAACGGATAAAATAATTAAGTGGAAATAAAAAGTTTTTAATTAGGTATATACCTACTTTATTTCGAAATTCTGCTCTATTTTCAATAATAGTTAATGTTTGTGATAAATAACTTTGATAGAACAATAAGTTAGTAAACACGTGCATTTCGGTTATCAATATCCAAAGTGATAACGAAAATAAATCTACCTTATTTAAGGCAAACACTTAAAAAGCAATAAATTTCATAATTTATTATTTTCAAGGTGCTAAATCGTAAAATAGAAATAATTTTTGACTTCTTTTCATTATAAATAAAAGTATTTTAAANTTCTACAAACGGCGTTCACTGTAATATTCTTAGAATTGTCTACGGCGGCAACGTGCTGATGCCAATCAACGAGTTCGAAATCGCGATCACATTTGTCTGCAGTCAATTGAAAAGTAAGTTAAGAAAAATACCTTGCAGATACTAGTACCTATAATTTTATGACATTTCGTTTTAGAGACTGTTTTCTTAATTATACATTTTTTTGCATTCTTAATTTATATTCCGATTTAAGAATAAGATGGTCAGTTATATGAGTCATGAATTTTCTGGTACAGTTGTTAATGTTAAGCCTGAACTAATCCATGCAAAAGCAGGGAGTAAAGTAGTAATTGACCCTAATAGATAATGTTCCAATTATGTCTTAAATAAATACAAATTTTATCAATAAAGTTATCTGGTAGCCGCTGTTTGTTATTTTTGTCATTTTGGTTCTCCAAATTTTTGACTAATTGAGGGTAATGACGTAATCATGCAGTTGGAATTTGGAAGAATGCAAGCTGAACTGATTACGTTTTAGTACTAGGTGTTACTATCACCAAATTAAAAGCACTGACAGAAACAGATCATAACTAATTGTAAGTATTTGTTGGTTGAAAAGTCCACATTCAATTATGTCACTATAATAAGTATTTTCTATTTTTGTTCTCTAATTTAGGTTTTATACATACGGGTCACATGATTAATGAATCAAAACGAGAAACAAATACAAAACATACTTATCAAACGATATTTTCCGCAATTGACTTATCTTTTTTTTTAAAAGTGTACTGAACTCAAATATTTTACACAAGGTCAGTAAATTGTTACTGTGCAACAAATGGAAAATTAAAAAAAAAACGCTACACTGAAATAAAAAGTGAAGAAATTGAAACAATAGTTAACTGTGAACGTCTACATCTCAGTTAATTTTTATCATAATTTTATCTTTAATGAGCGTTACGTAAGATTTGTTTTTTAAGAACCTTTATCTAAGTCTACTTAAAAAAAAGGCACTGGTGAAAATTTAATAAAATCGTTTCATTTCCTATGACGTGGCTTTTTGCATTTATTTTGTTGAATAAGTTTTTACCTTTAAAAGTGGCATTTCGGTAAGAAACTTGGTTATCTACAAATACACCTCTCTATACTAAAGTTACATAATTCTTGAATTGTAACCCCATTCTCAGAAATGCATCCTTGGATTTTATGACCTTTAGGGGCCAATTGACTAAGCAGTTTATTAGGAATAATTAAAAATTTAAATACAGTTTTTACTTGTTCAGAAAATATTTCATTTCAAAAAACGTAAAATGATTAATTATATTTAAATAAAATATCACATAGAGTTTGTTATCTGTTTTACTTTGAATACAACTACAACCAAAATATTACTTTAGACTTTATGATCAATTTTAATAATCTATTCTTATAATTTAAAAAAGACTGTATGCACTGTGTTTACAACGTAAAAAGGCCTGTTAAAAATAATAAAAGGCATCTTATAATTTATATCAATAATTTATGTCAGAATTAAATAGG